TCTTATTTCTCCTGAAACTAAAACAAAACAAAACAAAAAACAATCAAAACCAATTAATAGGGCCCCCTTTTTATAAACATTTCAATAATTCTTGACTGACTTAGGTAATGCACCATACAAAACCCAATTACTCAATAAAATCACTCAAAAGCAAATACTGGATTTGCTTTTTTGGGCACATTTCCTACGAGATGGTAAGCTCTATGAAAATAAAAAATATATAAAATAAAATTGGTTTCAACCCACTTTCTCTATTCCATGAAGTCAGAGAACATGGGAGTCAACCCTAGTGTTCTCTTGCTCCCTCAAACAACACGGCAAATCTATCACCAAGTTCTACTGATTCCATCTCCAGAATATATTCTAAATCCATCCACTTCTCTCCCATTTCCACTGCCATCTCTCTAGTCTAAGCTACTGTCTTCTTTCAGTTGAACCATTGAAAAAGCCAATAAATTGATTTCTAAATTGATTTCTGTGCCTTCTCTTGCCTAATTCCACTCCATTCTTCATATAGTGGCCAGGAAAAAACATTTTTTAAAAAAATTTATTTATTTATTTATTTTGAGAGAGAGAGAGAGAACAAGAACATGAGCAGGGTAAGGGCAGAGAAAGAGGGAGAGAGAGAATCCCAAGCAGGCTCCCTACTGCCAGCACAGAGACCGATGCAGGGCTCAAACTGACAAACCGTGAGATGATAACCTGAGCCGAAATCAAGAGTCTGATGCTCAACTGACTGAGCCACCCAGGCACCCCAGGAAAAAACAAATTTTAATGTAAATATGATCCTGCTATTTCCTTGCTAGAAATCATTCAATGGTTTCCTACCACAATTACAATAAAAACTCAAATCCTAACTTACCTCTTCAATCTCTCTCTCCAGCTTCATTTTATATGGCTTTTTTATTCATCGTACTCAAGCTATACTGGCCTTCTTACAGTTCCTCAAACTTACCAAGTGCTTAGGTACCTCAGAACATTTACACAAGCAGTACCCTTATGTCCGGAACATTTCTTCTTTCTAGCTCTTTGCCTTGCTGACCTTCTACTCATCTTTTAAGTTTCAGTCTCTGTGTAAATTATTACTTCCCTAAAAGAGGAATCCCAATCTCCAGCAATCTAGATCAGGAAGCTCCTGTTATAATCTCTTGCTGCATTTTTATTTTTTTCCTATTATCAGTTTGTAATTACAGATTTATTTATATGATTGTCTATTGTCTTACTCATGCAACTGAAAGCTTTGTGAAAGCAGTCTATGTCTTTTTGTTCACCCTACAGCTCGCATAGCATGCCAGGCACATGAATACTAAATGAATGAACCTCACAGACAAATACCACCATCCTAAGAATTTTAGTGCACTGCCAATGAAAATAAGGACCAATTAGAATTTAAATATCTAGCTGTTTATTTCCATGGTGCCGATATACACATGGACAATCACAAGTTTAATAAAATGTGCAAGAAACACACAGATTACTGTTGATACAAATTTATACTGTCTCCACTTGGCCTCAGCATCCCTTTTAACTCTTTCTATCAATCTTTCTTTCTGCAACCCTATTATTCCAACCCCTGCCAACTAGACATCTAGACTAGAGGAACAGCAATCCAGGCAGAGGGAACAGTAAATACAAAAGGCTCCCAGGCAGGACAGTGCTTGGTGTGTCTAAGAAACAGGAGGCCTGTTGCTGGAGTAGAGTGAACAAGGGCCAGAACAAGGGGAGTAGCTAAAGAAACAGGCAGGCACAAGATGATACTGGGTCTAAAGAAAAAGGAAAAAAAAAAAAAAAA